ATCACAGAAGAATTCTCTCATCAAGACTCTGTATCATAGAGCCCAATGCATATCCGACCAGGAACACATAAGCAGTGAACTCAAGCACGTACACCAAGCTCTTAGGGCTAATGGTTACTCCGACTATACAATCCGCAAAGCTATCACTCAAACCATGAAGAAGAACCCTCTTGAGGAGCCTTTCAAAACCATCACTTTACCCTACATTGCTGGGATCACAAAAAAGATCTCCAAAATCTTGAATAAACACAAGATCCAGGTCCGTTTCAACACATTACATAAAATCCGTGATCTGGTTCCGTCTGTAAAAGATGTGATTCCGGACATACAATACCCTGGTGTCTACAAACTAAGTTGCCTCTGTGGTAGTAGTTACATTGGAGAAACCAAACGCCATATCTCGGACCGCATTCGTGAACATAAAGCAGACCTTAAACACGGTAGGACCAACACCTCGGCCGTAGCAGATCATTGTTCTAATTCAGTAGGCTCACATGCCATTGACTTTTCCAAGACGGAGGTTCTTTGTAAGCCATCTGGCTTCCATGAGAGATTCGTTCATGAGGCTATCCACATATACAAACACAGAGACAATTTCAACCGAGAAGATGGATTCTATCTTAGCAATCATTGGAAAGATTTGATAAATCATTTCAGTTCTTGATTGATTGTTCACGCTTACAGTGGCTTTCAGACAGCATACATAAAAACAAATTTCGTCTCCCCCCTCCTCTTTTCAAAAAATAGATGGACTAGTCCTGGCAAACAGCCAATCGTTGCGCGTGACGCAAACGTTATTTATATATATATATAAATAAATATGCCGTTTTCTAAATAAATTTATGCAAACCGACACACCTGATGATGACCGTTTGAGTTATGGTCGAAACGTCGTGAGAATTTTTTATTGTTTTATATATATTTTGTTATTTTGTTGTTTCTCTTCAACGTGACTTTACCGAAAAAACTAAGAATTATTGTTCTCTGTTCGTCGTTTCCATAACGGTAGCTTTTTTTGAAAAGCCTTCAGGTGTTCTTCCGCTTCCATGATATTGACTCCACCACCCTGCATCTGCTGATTGAGATGATTGAGAGCTGCGAATATATCAGCCATGTACGCTAAAATGAGAATGAACTCAGGATTTTTGAAGCAATCTGCATGGCAGTGTTGGTGCTCTTGCAAAAACAGGGCTAATTCCACACGCATGGCAAAAACACGATTCAGCACCTGTCCCCGGGATAACCACCGAATATTAGAATGGAGCAGAAGTACCTCAAATTCAGAGCCCATTTCTTTACACAGCTCACTGAAGATGCGGTGCCTCAGAGCACTTTTTCGCACATAGTTCACACATTCCACCACAGTTTTTAATACTTCTGCCATTTTTGGAGGTAAGGTTTTTGTTGCCAACGCATGCCTGTGCAGAATACAATGCGTCACAATGATGTGTGGTGCATCGGCCTTTACTAGCGCACCAAAACCAGACTTTCTTCCCAGCATGACTGGAGCTCCGTCCGTACAAACTGCAGAAACCATATCCCATGAAAGATTGTTGTCTCTGAAGAAGTCATCCACAAGCTTCTTCACATCGGCTGCCTTCGTTGTTGTTGTAAGAGGCTTACAAAATAAAAACTCTTCTTTTATCATGTCGTCTTTCACATAGCATACAAAAACAGCAAGCTGGCTTAGATCAGAAACGTCTGTGGTTTCGTCGAGTTGAAGGCTGAATTTTGCCGGGCTTGAAATCAGATCCGCGACTACTTGAGCCAAGATGTCTTTACTCATGTCTTCTATTCTGTCACTGACGGTGTCATTTGAAAGGGGAATTTGGGATAATTTACCTTCGGCCGCTGTTCCGAATATCAGATTCGCCATCTTTAATGCAGCTGGTTTCACAAGTGTTTCACCAATGGTGTGTGGCTTGCCCTGCTTTGCGATCAGGTAAGCAACTTCGTACGATGCTGTCAGGATCGGTTTGTTAACAGGTACAAATCCAAGAGCAGGCAGAGTGGCCCTTTCATCGAATCTGGCTCTCTTCACCCTGAATTCAGCAAGTGTTGTGTTCTTGTATTCCCCGTCTCCATGCAGCTTCAAGAAGTGTTCCTTTAGTTTTGCCGGTGCAAGACTAGAATTGCTCAACTTGGCGTTGCAAATCATGCAGATAGGACGCTCACTCCCATCACGTTCCGTGATACATGAGAATCCATGTTGTACATATTCGTCCGACTACTTTCTTCTTTTGCCCGACATAGTTAGTATGGATAAAATATTAAAGAAATCACACGACGTACGACAACAACAGTCACACGTTGACTACTGAGTACGCACTAAATTCCCCGCAGCGCTGATTGGCCAAGCAGTGTAGCATGATCATCTGCAGCCAGTGATGGCCAAGCGGGCCGTGTGTGTCATCACAAATTTACACAATAATTCAAGTGTGTCCGGACCTCCGTGGCGGGGGCTCTGCCGAACCCCTGAGATCGACTCACCGAACCCCTGGGGTTCGATCGAACCCAGGTTAAGAACCACTGATTTAAACATTCCACGTGGCCACTTGCAGTGGCTTTCTGCCGTTTCTGGAGGAACCCCAAGGGTAAGGATTCAGTCTCCTGGCTCCACCAAATGGGGTTTAGCCAAAACACCTAGTAGATACCTGTCGTCCTAGGGCCTCTGGCACAAGCTTAGTTCGATATTTAATAAATTCAAATAATGGTGGATGAAAATTTAAGAAAAGGTATGTTTTAAATGCACAACTTTGTCTGCCAATCGCAATAACAGGCGTTAGTGTTAAGATGTAATGCAGACTATTGATGCATTGTGCAAGGTATCATCAAGGACTGGCTTAACCCACACACACACACATCATACTTGTGGCAAAAATGTGCAAACATGCTCTGAAAAAAATAGCAACGTATGGCATTTTCTTTGGTTCTTTCGGTAAAGTCACGTAGAATGAGAATAAAATAATAAATTGATAAAATAAAATAACACAATAATATAACACAATAATATTATTGCGTTATTTTATTTTATCAATTTATTATTTTATTCTCATTCTACGTGGTGACTTTACCAAAAGAACCAAAGAAGATGAATCCTTGCAGTCACGAAAGCTTTAAATCGAAAAAAAAGTATGGCATTGTCTTAGAAAATGATTGGCCTACTACACCCCTTGCAGTGTGGTAGTAGACCAGAGAACGCCAAAAGGCGAATGGTACAAAGACAATGCGAGTATCAGAGTTGTAGATAAATAACAGCTCAACCCGAGCTGTAAGTGCTCTGATCCTTGGAATTGTCTCTGTACTATTCACCGTTCGGCATTGGTCCACTAACACACTGGTAGAGGTGGTACTGGGACAAGACCATACAGAAGAAGGCTGTCTGCTGTAGTAGGCCAATCAGTTTCAAGACAATGCATAACATCATTTGTTAACAGCGGATGTTTGTTGGCATGTTTTGCCACGTAAGTAAGATGTGCGGTTTAATGCAGAACTGGATGACGCCTTGCAATAGCTGTGTGTGTCTATTTGGTGTTTGAACATCTTAAAGCCACCTGCTCTTTTATCATTGCCAGACAAGGCACATAGGACGGACCTATTCTTAACATTTCATCATTTTGAATGCTGCGAAAAAAGCCAATATATACAAATAACGATATTAAGATAAATCATGATAAAGAATTTTGATTTAAAGCTTTCGTGACTGCAGGGATTCATATTCTTGGTTCTTTCGGTAAGTCACGTAAAAGGGAAACAATAAAATAATAAAAATATAAAACAATAAAATTATCACGATGTTTCGACTGCAACACAAGCAATCATCATCAAGTGTGAAAACCATCGCAAGAAAATTTGAAAAAAAGTGGCGGTCATGAAATTTTCTCTGTGTTTGTATATGTGTATATGTGGCTATCCACATATACAAACACAGAGACAATTTCAACCGAGAAGATGGATTCTGGCTTAGCAACCATTGGAAGGATTTGATAAACCATTTCAGGTTTTAATTGATTGTTCACGCTTACGGTGGCTTTCAGACCGCATCCATTATTTTCGTCTCCCCCTCCTCTTTTCCGAACATAGATGGACTCGTCCATCTGAACAAACTGTCAAATCGCTCCCCGTGGTGCTAACGTTAAAATTAACCGCCACTTTTTTTCAAATTTTCTTGCTGTGGTTTTCACACCTGATGATGATTGCTTGTGTTGCAGTCAAAACGTCGTGAGAATTTTACTGTTTGATTGTTTCCCTTTTACGTGATTTTACCGAAAGAACCAAGAACATAATAAAGAAGTTATACAAATGTAACACTCACCCAGCTGCATGTCCTCAGGCCCCCACCCTTGTCACCAAACAACAACAACACCCGCCATTTGCCACTACGGGGCACCACGGTGGCTAGGAGATGTTAACTCCCTCGCCTGGTGGACAGGAGGTCGTGGGTTCGATCCCGACCCTGCGAGATGTTATCTCCCTCGCCTGGTATGCAGGAGGTCGTGGATTCGATTCCTACCCTGATGCCTGCTGTATATGTGGAGCCTGCGTGTCTCTCTCTCCGTGGTCGCGTGGATTATTCTCCTGGTCCTCCGGTTTTGCCCTCCACATTTAGAATCAACGTCACGCGTTTAAGAGTATTTGGCTGCTGCTCTACATATCTACACGATGCTGATGGTAATCAGCCACTTTGTTATGCCACTATCATCTGTGATAGCCAGGTCGCTTCTTAAAAATAGCTACATAGCTCGGTGGGGTCTTACCCGGTAAAATAAAAAAAAGTTTCGTTTCAGTAAAAATGAAGTATGCCAAACATCCTCGGTGGTTCATATTCTTAGCTCTTTCGGTAAAGTCACGTTGAAGGGAAACAATAAAAAAAAATATAAAACAATAAAACATTTAAATCCTCGGTGGTGTGAACAGGCAATATCAGGGCTGCACACCCCTCTTTAAACATTGTGCCTGCATTCATTTGATTTTGTTTTCTTCTCTCGTTCAACCTCCAGACGGGGAGCCTGGTAACTCTGATGAGCCCGACTTGACTGCATCTCGTCAAGATGAACAGCAAATACCAGTGTCTGGTCCATCCACCACAGGTCAAGACGAACAGCAAATCCCTATTCTTAACATTTAATCATTTTTAATTGCTGGCAACCCCCCCCCCCCCCAATAGATACAAATTAAGATTTTAAAATAAATTATGTTGAAGTTATAAAAATGTGACACCCAGCTGCATGTCCTCAGGCCCCCACCACCATTCGCCACTACGGGGTGCCACGGTGGCTAGGAGATGTTAACTATCTCGCCTGGTGTACAGGAGGTCGTGGGTTCGATCCCGACCCTGACGCCTGCTGCTGTATATTTGGAGTCTGCGTGTCTCTCTCTCATCATCATCACCACGGTGGCTACGAGATGTTAACTACCTCGCCTGGTATGCAGGAGGTCGTGGGTTCGATCCCGACCCTGACGCCTGCTGCTGTATATTTGGAGTCTGCGTTGTCTCCTTTTCTCTCTACCCGTGGTGGTCACTACATGGATTTTGTCCAGGTCCTTCGGTTTTTCCCCTCCACATTTAGAATCAACATCGCCATGCATTGAGATTTTTTGGATTATTTGGATATCGTGCATTGTGTTCAGCTGCTATCATTTGTGATAGGCCAGGTCGCTTGTCAAAAGATAATTGTTAATACCTCAGTGGGGCCTTGCCTGGTAGGATGGGTGCATGGTTTAGTGTTGTGTATTTGTCTTTGTTTGAGTGATTTGTTCACCTTTCTTATACTTTGAAAGCCTATCATGTTTTTTGGACAGTTTGTTGTTGTAACGTTCTGACCCCGTGATCCCCTACCTTGACCATCTGTGATCAATGAGCTTTATAGCTCATCGGATTGCTCCTGCAGTATGCAATACAATATTCTGATTCTCGTGATTATTTTTCACTTAAACTTTGCAGATTCAATCCGCATGAAATGCATCAAAGTCAACCAGACTATTCCTCAGGAAAAGCAGGTAACTCACGATTCAACACGACATCCATTGTGCAGTGTATAGTAGTGTAGTGTATAGTGGTGTATAGTAGTGTATAGTGTAGTGTATAGTAGTGTAGTGAATGGTGTATTGTATAAGTGTAGTGTATAGTAGCATAGTTTTTGGTAGTGCAGTGTATAGTGGTGTAGTGTATTATAGTACTAGCGGGAAGTGTTGCCCGGGTCTTAAAATATATCAAAACTTATCTTAAAAGTGTAACAGCAGTGCATACTGTGGTGGTACCTGCTATGATTACAGCAGTGCATACCAACTGTGGTGGTACTTGCTATTACTACAGTAGTACATGCTGACTCTATAGCAGTATTTATCGACTGTATAGCACAAAGTACTCACCTGACAGAGTGGCGTGGTGAGGCCTAGTCCCGTGCAGAGCCTACGGCCTCGCCTAGATTGTCCAGCTGGCCGAGGTGGCACCTTGGCAGGCTGGGGCTGGGCTGCTACCCCTGACCCCCCCCCCCAGCCACGATCTCCCCGGCCGCTCTACAGTAGCATCTAGCGACTGTATAGTAGTAATGACTGCACGCATCGGGGCAGGAGGGACATCACACAGTGAAGAATTTACCTGAGCGTTTAGTGTATTTTTATAGCAATTTTTACGCGAAATAAAATGTGCCCCTCAGTCCCACCGAAGGCGTGCGACTTGGCATGGGCGGTCTCCCCCACCTAAGGCACGTGAGTTTGGATTGTCGTGCATGCCTCTTAATAAATAAATCAATAAAAGGAAAGCGCACACAAATCGCACTAAATCGCTAATTAAACTAATTTAAAGTTGACGGATGTGAAAAAGGAATAGCGCTTGTTCACCGCGGGGCTTACGGCATGGTACCTGCCTATTTTTTTTTACATAAACCCCACCACGAAGAGCCAAGCATGCAACCACAAACAAACCCACAAACCTACACACAATTTTTGACTTTTATATGTATAGAGAGTGTATAGTGTAGTGTATAATTTGGAGTGGAAAAAAATCGGAGGACCCGGAGAAAAATCGACGCAGTGACCACCAAGGGGAGTGAGAGGCAGATAGAGAGAGACCGACTCCAAATATACAGCAGCATGCATCGTCAAGGTCACGGGATCGATATCCTGCATACTATGCGAGGGAGGTCACATCTGCTAGCCACCACAGCACCACGGAGAGAAAGACAGAGAACAACAATCGATATTCGCCACTAAGTGGCGGTGATGTCACCATGACGCTTATGCCAGGCTATGTGCACATTGAGGCCAGGTGAAGTTTCAAACGCCCGCTGGCAGGAGGTCACGGGGCAGACCTAGGTACCACGGGTCGACTGACTGAGATGACTGGCTGATGCACCACCTGTGCCCCCTACTGTGCCAACCTGCTGTGCTTTAGCCACCCGGTGCTCCATTCGTTGTTGTGAGCGTCTCTCCTCCACCCTCCGTTGTTGTTGGAGGGCGACTGCCTCCAACTGCCCAGTAGCGTCCTTCACGAGCCTCCTCCACAGAAGCCGATCTTGACACCGCTGGTACCAGTCATCGGCAAGTCAACTCAGCTCCACGTCCTCCTGTACCACATCACTCCATCTCTGCTCTAGCCCGTGCCATGCCCATTTAGCCCGCTTGATCCGGCCGAACAAAAGCTCTTTAGGCATGCGGTGGCTGGGCATGCGGCCTACATGACCCAGCCAATGCAGTCTTGCCTGCCGGAGGAGCTCACCGATGGGACTTTGTCCACATCTTTCAAGGATTTGTGAGCTGCTCACATAATCCAGCCTGGTTAAACCCAACATGGATCGTAGGCAGGCCAGCCTAAATGTTTCTAACTGGTGAAGATGTTTCATTACGGGGGTCCACGTTTCACAAGCGTAGAGAAGGGAGGGAATGACCGTGGCCGAGAAGACCTGAAGCTTAGTGCGAAGTGATAGACCAGGTAGCTTCCACACAGCGTTACGTAACCGATGATAAGATAACGTTGATTGGGAGTGAGACCTCTGCTGTTAAACTGGAGTCGGTCATGAGCACACTGCCAAGGTTTGGGAAACTCTCCACTCTCTCCACAACTGCCCTATCACCAATTGGGAGTTGTGGGGGTGGAGTGTCCGATGGTACAAAATACCCAGGCAGGTGCTGAGTTTTGGTGGGGCTGATGGGCTTGGTGGCAAGCTCCAGGTTCAGCAGCAGTGCCTCCAACTCCGTCTTCGAGTGAGCAGCAATTACCAGATCATCAGCATACAAAACGTGCTTGAGCAATAGGGAGCCATCCCTTGACCGCTCCCGAGCATCGATCAGCCTCCAATTATTTCTGTACCAAATGGAAGGCTTCACGAACTACGTAGTCAAAATCGATGTTAAATAATGTGGGAGCCAGAGGACATCCCTGTACAGGGAATGGCTCTGACTCCCGGCCACCTAGTTTTACCCGGGCCCGCTCACCATCATGAAGGTCCCTATTGAGCATGAGCAGATGGTCAGGTACTCTGAAAGCACGAAGAACAACCCAGAGCCCAGGCCTACTGATGGTATCATAGGCCTTGACCAGGTCAATAAAGCAGAGATGTAGGTCTTGTTGGAATTCCATACACCTCTGCTGTAGCAGACGAACAGAAAATATGGCATCTGTGCAGGACCGCCCTTTCCTGAAACCACATTGGGGCTCCACAAGCCTCTCCTCAGTGTGCCTAGCTAGGCGAAGTTGAATCATGCGTGCCAGCACCTTTCCCGGCACACTGAGGAGTGAGATGCCCTTGTAGTTGTTACAGTCTGTGCGGTCCCCCTTCTTGAAGAGGGGGACCACCAGGGCATCCTTCCAATCCTGCGGACCCGTCCAGTTGCCCAGACTGTTGTTATGATGTCATGTAGGGCAGTCTGCGCACATACGCCACCCTCCCTCAGCATTTCGCTTGGGAGATCATCTCTGCCCGGTGCCTTTCCTGGTCTCAGACTCTGGATCGCCTTCAGTACTTCCTCAACAGATGGCACCTCAGTCAGCCACTCACAGGGGGTGACTTCCAATATTTGAGGCACCGCAGCCTCAGCAGGGTCATCCCCACTTTGTCTCATGATGTTTTACAGGCTGAGGGATTTCCTCTCCCCCAGGACCTCACAGAAATACTCAGCAAATCTGCAAACCGGTTCCTGGGGTATAATAATAGGGGTTTTACCTTTTTTCTGGCAACAAAACTGAAACCTTTTTACGAGGAATCATGTTTGCATTAACCACAATACCTGCAGTGAGAATGCAAAAAAAAAACACTCTGATAATGTATGTCTTGTCCTTGAAATTGATTGGTCCACACCTGAGACAGCTTTCCTTAGAGCCTGGTCTCATATCGTGTTCGACCAGATGACGCCCAAAGGTGCACAAATCAAATACAACGCACTATCAGAGTAATGAGGGCTCGGGTTAAGCATTTACATCATGAGGCATCCTTTCAGTTTTTCAAAAAACCTATTATTATATTTTGCTACTGGCAAAGGAGGCCTCTAGACCGCGCTTTAGGTGGCTGCTTGACGTGGCCTCTTTGTTTCCAGGCGGGCAGCAAAGAAACAAAAATGTAAAACTTCTCTCCTGCTACTCCACCGCCGCCACAATGGGCAAAGCAGTCCCCACGACCACAAACAGCTGACTGTGAATTGTTCGGCGGTGGCCACGCTCGGCGTGCGTGTAAACATTCGTGCATTGTGCCACGATTGTTATTGCCGCTAAGAAGAAAAGGCGCAATATAAAGTGGTTATGCATTTTGTTAAAACGTTGCCACGAGGTTTGCTTATTTTCACAAACTTACCTACAATGTAACAACCACCACCATCCATGATGAACGATGTATTTCGTAATAAACGACAATCGCATTCAATTTAGGCTCTCTCACATGGTGTCTGGATGAACTGACATGTTTGCTGGACTTTCATTCTGGGCACCTTTGAACTACTTCACGGTACAAAATGAAGACGAGAATGTCACGCTAGACTACAGTCGATGGTGAACGGTAGCAATGCTTGCGTTTAAATGAAAAGATGTCAGCCGCACGAGATGAGGCTTTAAAAAGCACTTGGCACGCTCTCCCTTTGCTTCTGTCTCACTTTCAGGCGTCCCCGTGTACGCTGAAGATCATTGGCGGCCAAGGTGGAAACAAGTTCTCGTTCGACAGGAAGGAGAACGCGGCCACGCTGCAGAAGCTCTCCGTGAGCGTTGGGGGCTGGCAGGTGAGGGGCGTGGAGGTGTGGCTGACGGACGGGCGCAGGGAGACATTTGGCACCATGAACTCCTCCGCTCAGGAGTTCGAATTCGAGTCGGGCGAGTTCATCACGAGCCTCTCGCTCTGGAGCAACGGGGATGGCACTCGCCTGGGCGCCATCAAGTTCAGAACGAGCCGCAGCCGCGAGTTCTTTGCCAAGATGACGGACTGTGGGCTCAAAACCGAGTACAAGATCGACGTGGGCTCTGGCATCTGCTTGGGCGTTCAGGGCCGAGCGGGGTCCGACATTGACTCCATGGGCTTCCTCTTCATCAATGCCATAAAGTCGTCGGTGATCCAGGACATGAAGTACCCGACCATGCACCAGGTCCTGCCCAACGTGCAGATGGAGGAGATTAATAAAATGGAGTACACGAACGACACCAGCGTCGTGCAGTCGTACACCTTCGAGAGCTCCAAGAAGATCACCAAAACGTCATCCTGGTCCACCACCAACAAGATCGAGTCCACCTTCAGCCTGACGGTGAACGCCGGTATTCCTAAGATCGTGGAGGCAGGGGGCAGGTTCAGCTTCGCAAAGGGCATTGAGAGCACACACAAGGTGGAGGAGTCCAAGGAGGAAACTGAAACGCTCACGTTCCCGGTCTCTGTTCCGCCCCACAAGACCATCAACGTGGTCGCCAACATCGGGCACGCCAAAGTCGACCTTCCGTACACGGCCCTGCTGCGCATCACCTGCGTGAACGGCGCATCCCTTGATGCTTCCCTGAGCGGCGTCTACAACGGGCTCACCTACACCAAGATGACCACCGTCGCTACTGAGAGCTAGTGTGACACTTTGCAGCATCTTTTTCTGGTCATGTTTATGAAGTTTTCTAAATTTTGATTTAAAGCTTTCGTGACTGCAGTAATTCATATTCTTAGTTCTTTTGGTAAAGTCACGTTGAAGGGAAACAACCAAATAATAAAATATATATAAAACAATAAAAATTCTCACGACGTTTCGACCATAACACAAACGGTCGTCTTCAGGTGTGTCGGTTTGCATAAATTTATTTATTTGTAAACGGTGTATTTATTTATTTATAAAAAAACGTTAGCGCCACGCGCAGTGATTTGGCAGTTTATTTAGACGGACTAGTCCATCTATGTACACCGTTTAAAAATAAATAAATTTATGCAAACCGACACACCTGAAGACGACCGTTTGTGTTATGGTCGAAACGTCGTGAGGATTTGTATTGTTTTATATATTTTTTATTATTTTGTTGTTTCCCTTCAACGTGACTTTACCGAAAGAACTAAGAATAAGTTTTCTAAAGTAAAGTTTTTTGGCTGTGTAAAATTCACCAATTAAAAAAAGACTTCTACATTGAACCATTTGCTTTTCCAAGTCCCTTGGTTATTCGCAGTTCCCCTTGAGGCACTGAAAGGTACGGAAACCCTAGGTGTTTGTGCGTACAGGTGTTAACACAAACTTGGGGCTTTTCAGAATCGATTTTCCACTTGTAAAAAGTCTAATCGAAGCTTCTCTTTGAAGCCTGGCTAGTAAATGCATTAATTTTGTTATCCATTTGGGTTGTTGTTGTTGGATGTTTCCAGCGAATTAAAAGCTTGCATACACTTGGGCTCCCAGGAAACTGGAGCACCTGGTGAAAACCCACGCCGTGCACAAGACGGCATGAGAATAAGAATATTTGTTTATCCTGGAGGAATCCGATGAGCTATGAAGCTCTCTGTCACGGATGTCGAGTAAGGGTACGGCGTAAGAACATTACAATAACAAACAGTACAACACAAACAGGATAGCAGTGCAAAGTATAAGACGTGTAAACGCATCACACAAACACAGACAAATACAAACACGAAACCATCCCCACGCTACCAGGCAAAACTCACTGATGTATTAACTTGTTTTTCAGAAACGTCACGAATGGTGGAACAAAAAGATAGAGGCCGCTATCGCGTGGTTTGTTCAGCTCAATGGAAGTAAACTTCCGAGTGTCAATGGTTAAAATGTACAAAATGGGGTTGGGCGTTCGGTGCGAGCCGAGTTGGTTCCGCGTTTTTGCTCGAGATCACTGCAGTGGTCGTTTCAGATGGGAGACGCGTGGTATTTTGTTTAGTCTATTCACAATTATCACGGTATTATTTGCCCCATCGATATAATTAGATATCGGTTATTTTAGCTGTCACTACTGTTCAAGTAAATATTGATAAATTTACGTGCGATTAACAGCGGTTTTGGATAGGAATCGTAGGGTGAAATGATATAATTTAAGGTAGTTTTTGTTTAAGTGTGTATGTATGATACTCAGTGCTGGTTCAATAAGCCATTGGGGTTTTGTGGGTGGCGAGGGGGGGGATTGAGCAGAATTGTGGCTTGTGGGCTGATGCCGGTGTCTCTCGGTCAACTGTTGTAGCGATACGAGAGATACCAGGCAGAGACACTTTTAAATAGTGTACAGCAAACCCTCTCTCTATCCGCGAATGTGGAAAGACCTCGTTGCCAATGGGGGGGGAGGGGGATGGGGCTACGTTCCTGGCACGAGTGAACTCTACGTGCGCCGCGCATCTCTCCCTCCCTTTATGCAACTCCAGGTTCGACTCGGCAGGGGGCTCCGTCTCGGGATTTGTGAATGCAGGTTACGTGAGGCGGGTCGGTGGATGAGAGCAGGGCCGTATTACTACTCATTCCCCCACTCACTCATTCCCCCACTCACTCATTCCCCCACTCACTCATTCCCCCACTCACTCATTCCCCCACTCACTCATTCCCCCACTCACTCATTCCCCCACTCACTCATTCCCCCACTCACTCATTCCCCCACTCACTCATTCCCTCACTCACTCATTCCCACACTCACTCATTCCCCCACTCACTCATTCCCCCACTCACTCATTCCCTCACTCACTCATTCCCACACTCACTCATTCCCCCACTCACTCATTCCCCCACTCACTCATTCCCCCACTCACTCATTCCCACACTCACTCATTCCCCCACTCACTCATTCCCCCACTCACTCATTCCCCCACTCACTCATTCCCACACTCACTCATTCCCCCACTCACTCATTCCCCCACTCACTCATCCATCCACCCACTCATCCAACCACTCACTTTCCCACCCACTCAGACACTCATCCACCCACTCACTCACCCACTCAACCACTCACTTATCCACCCACTCACCGACCAGGGCCGTATTATCCAACAGGCAACATGAGGCACTGTGCCTAGGGCCTATTCAGTTAAACACCCACCCAGCCACCCACTCATTCATCTACCCACTCACTCATTCATCCAATCACCCACCCACTGACTCAGTCACCCACCAACCGACGCATCTACCCCCTCACTCACTCAACCATACACGTGTAGTGGCATAGCGCCGGCTGCTGGTGTAAAAGGGTAACTACGGTGTATGGCAGTTCCCACGTCAGCAGCCACGATGGGCACGAGCGGGGGACTTCTGTGGGACAGGTCACGGAGGGGGCCATCGGGAAGCCTCGGGAACCCGCTAGAAGATTCTGGGGCGGAGCGAGGCCACGCTGAGAGTAAAAGAGGGGCCCCTGTGGGGGAGCTCGTGGCTGCTGCTGGAAGTGGGATCCCCGTCGTGCTGCTCAAGATCGCCGTCGTTACCATCTCGTCACCATCGTCGCTGTTGTCTTTACTCGATATTGCGCTGCTAGATAGTCGTTGGCTGTCTCGGTTCAGCGCCGTGAGTGTTAGATAGACGGTTAGTGTTGTGTATTAGGCTAGCAACAGTAATACTGTGTGCCCACGTAGAGTTGTGTATAGGCTGCACCCACGTAGGGTGTGTATTATCCCGATGGTGTTCGTTAAATAAAAGAAGTGCCTCCAATTATTGCTGTCTCACTAAGCGAGTGTGGTGCACCGCTTATTTATAAGGTGTGAAGGAGCACCGTGTATTCTTGGTTATGTCATTTTTAGATGTATTTATGTTTTAAGTCAATGAGTCAAGACGAGTCAAGATCAATGCGCTATGGTTGCTAGGAGATGTTAACTCCTTCGCCTGGCATACAGGAGGTCATGTGTTCGAGATCCCGACCCTGCCGATGCCTGCTGCTGTATATGTGGAGTTTTCGTCTCTCTCTCTCTCTCATCACCATTGTGGCTAGGGGATGTTAACTACCTCGCCTGGTACGCAGGAGTTCGTGGGTTCGAGATCCCGACCCTGACGCCTGTTGTATATGTGGAGTTTGCGTGTCTCTCTCTCTCCCATCACCACAGTGGCTAGAAGATGTTAACTACCTCGTATGGTATACAGGAGGTTGTGGGTTATGTTGTATATATTGTTATCAAAACATTTAATGTAAAAATAGAAATGTGCTAAAATTACGAATTAATAAAAATTTACAATTATGTCAAATATGTTAACGTATGTAATTAGGTGTAATTAACTACACATATATTTTAAGAATTTAAGCAGCTGCTTAAATTCCCTTTTCACACCATCAATATGTAAACTCCCCCTCCCCCCCTCGCCGGTCTGCACATGTTCACCCCCTCTACAGCGTTCATCATGCTAAGTCCACCAATTAAATGCTAAATTCTATGCTAATTCCTTTGTCAAGGCGCTCTGTTTCTTCTCACACAGCTTAAAGGTCGCGGTCTGAGCTTGGCTTTGTTCGCTCCAGCGCTGTCCTCTAGACAGTCTGCTCCCTTCACCTGATGAAGGCCACTTGTGTTGTGGCCGAAACGTCGTGATTTTTGTAGTTTTATTTTTTACCTACGTGACTTTACCGAATAGAACCAAAGAGTATGGATCCTTGCAGTCACGAAAGCTTCAAATCTAGAATTAACTTCTTCGTCTCCGCTCTCCGCTATCACCGTCGCTATGTTCTCTCCACTGCTAACTTCTTCGTCTTTGTTCACCGCTATCACCGTCACTATGCTCACTACACTGCGGGCTATTCTCGTCTTCAGCTCCGCTATCGCTACGCTCTCTCCACCGCTAACTACTTCGTCTTTGTTCAGCTTCGCTATCGCTACGCTCTCTCCAAGCTCCGTCTCCAACTCCGTCTCCCTTCCACTCTGTCTTCCAAACTCTGTCTCGCAAACTCTCTCTCAAACTCTGTCTTCCAACTCTGTCTCTCAAACTCTCCACACTTCAATTCCCCCTGTTGACTCCAAGCTCTCCAAACTCCAACTCCCCCAAGCTCTCCACCTTTCAACCCCCTCTGTTGACTCCGACTCCCGCTCTTATACCCGCTCTCATTACACCCCCAATTAATTAACCCGCGTCCCAACGGCACTCCGTGTGATCATACACCTGTTCCTCGCCAGACTTCCAGACGCCCCTCCGGCCCTGGCAATAGCACCAACCAATCACAGCCGTCCTTGGCTCCCCCAGCTTAATTCGCCTAACCTAACCTGCACTGTATTTGCCTTCGTTACAGGCTGACCTAACATAAACCGCACTGTCTTTGTTTCCATGCAATACGCACCTTTCTACTCCACTACAGAAGCATCAACAATCGGATCTCACGATCACGTGATCAAAAAATACGTACAGGCTAACCCACAACAACAGTATGAATGTCAGCATACGTGTTCAAAAAATTTTCCTCATCGAATGCTTAGAAGACATCACAGATCGGATTTGCAAGTTTATGCGATTAAAAGGAAAACAACAGCTAGTATATACATATGATAGTATTCATGCCGGCATATGGGTTCATAAATTGAATGCTTATAAAATGGTTTGAAGAAGATCAACGATTGAATTAGCAAGATTATCCGACTAAAATAAAAAATAAAAACAGCTAATATCTCAACCATAATATTCATCCCGATACCGATGTGCATGCCGTGGAT